TGCTGTGAGCTGTGATGCCAGGGCACTCTACCCAGGGGGATAGCTTGAGGCTCTGTCTCAAAAAAAAAAAAAACTTATTTAGAGAAGGGGTCTTTCTCTGTCACTCAGGCTGGAGTACAGTGATGTAATCATAGCTTGCTGTATCCTTGAACTCCTAGACTTAACTGGTCTTCACCCTCCACCTGCCAAGTAGCTGGGACTCTAGGCTCACACCACCACACCCAGCTCATTTTTAAATGTTATGTAGAGACAAAGTCCCACTGTGTTACCTCGCTGGTCTTGAACTCCTGGCTTCAAGCAATCCTACCTTGTCAGCCTCTCAACGCACTCAAATTACAAGTGTGAGCCACCCAGTGATGTTTACATTTCACTCAGCCCTGCCATTTACCAGCTACACAACCATGGGCGTATAACTTGGCTTCTTTAATGCCCATTTTCTTACCTATAAAATGAAGATGATAATATATAGAGAAATATATGTCCTGAGGTTTTGTGAGTGAAAAGCAGAGGGTCTAGTGCTTGGAAGGTATTATAGTAATAGCTCAAACAAACAGAAGGTCTATGATAGTTCTCAATGGATGTACAACTAGATGAGAAAGCATGGCCTTTGAGGGCTGGGGACCCTCACAGAGACAGGTAAGAGGCAAGGCCCTCCTAGCTGCTGTGTCTGTTTACTCCCAGGTACCCCATCCCCTCTCCCTGTGCCTGTGGACTATGGGAACGGCGTTGCTCCCAGACTTTGGAGGGAAGAATCTCCCTCGCCTTTGCTGTTGTAGGATGTGGGTTTTTCTCTGTTCTAGTTGCTCCACCATTGCAATTCATCTGCTTGTAAGTTTCCAGAGGTTCCTCACAATTTCTGGTCCACCAATGGCACCCTTTTCTTTTATTTGATCGCTCATCATTTTTATGTCATTTCCAGGAAATTTGTAAGAAGAAGAAATAGAAAATAGTACTTCTCATTTTACCCTCTTGAAAAAGAATCCCAGCGGACATTCGGAATATTCAGTTCCTTTCTCTTTCCTCATATGGGAAGAAAATCCAGTT